TGGATTTTCCATTAGTCCCTTTAAGAAACTAATGCTCAGTAGCCTTTGTCTTGCCTCATTGCAAATTTTATCAAAATGATCAAATACATGGTAATGTTCTATGGTGCCTTGAATGTACAAACAGTTTGCACCCTTTGGGCAATCATCATGAAGAATGAATTTGCCCTTTTTTACTCTTATGGGTATTTTTAGATATGTATGCTTGGTCACTTTTATTTTTAAAAAGAGTTGTGGTTGATGTCAGAATAGGCAGCCAGAAATATTTGTACAAGCTTGTATTCTGAGGCAGGGGAATTGAGAGTACCAGGACCTTCTGGCCTACTTAAGAAAAGTCCTCCATGTATCTCCCCCTCATGTAAAAGAAAGAAAAAGAAGAAATTAAAATAATTAGAAAATAGAGTAAGAAACATTGCAAGGTAATAAACAGCTTTTCACTTCTATTTCCCTTCAATAAAGGCATAGTAATTAAAAATAATAGGAATGTGTCTACCTTTCGATCATTTTATTAACCACATAAAGAAAATGTATTCACAGGAATATGCAGGCCACTTCTCAGCAATGCTCAGACACTACCAGGTGAACCAAGACAAGTTCAGTGAAGTCCTCCAGCTGTAGTACAGATCCTTGAGTCCAATAGAAGTCTGAGATAATAGTGTAGACAAAATAAATCTCTCAGGCAAAATTAAAATCTGGAATTTTGTTGTAGAAAAACAAACAACAAAACAAAAAACAGAAAACGTAGTCCTGATCTGCTCACTGATGACTTTTGTTCATTGTTATCTTATTGGTTAGTACTGAATTGTAGGCATGAAACAACTAGTATGTGCAGATGGGAACAGAGGGTTTCTGGAAGGAATGAATCTCAGCATAAACATGCCAGTCTGCAGGGAGACCTGTGTCTAGGCTGAGGAGGAGGCCATCCCTTCCTTCTTATTTGAACTCTAGAAAAATCTGACCACACTGCAAGCATCTTTCACTGGCTCATAAGAAAATCGTGGAAGCCCTCCATAGCTCTGGCAGTGTGTGAAACCAAAGCAGTGCACGCAGTTCGCATTGCCACCAAAAGGAGAGCCCACAGAGTCTATGTTTCATTTGGTTTTATGAGATGAAAAGCACACTTCCTCCAGGTTTAATAATCCATAAGACATACAAATCACAATATGTTGACTTGGTCTCATCTGTGAAGGGTCAAAGTTCTCCGATTAGTGCTCTTTTCCACAGACATATTTAAAATAAGAGGAAAAAATGGAAATGAAAGAAGCCCAGAAGGAACACAGGAACAGACTGAATGAGTTTGACCCTCACTGGACTCCACTGACAGTACATCAAGGCTACCAGGCTACCGACAACAGGTCTCCTCTCTGACACGTTGCAAAGAAATTGGACATAATGTGATTTTGACTCCTGGGCTGATATAGAACTACATGGGTCTATGTGAACATGTGTGTGTGTGTGTACATGTGTGCTGTAGATACATTTCATAAACACTAATATAGGATAATTCTCATCACCTATGGTTTTTGGAGTGCAGCCATGCAGAATGACAGGCAAGGTAGGTATTGCTTCAAGGTGGACATGGAAAGGTGGACAAGTGATGGTAGATAAGGGCTGGGAAATTTGTTTCTACGGGGGTATACTGGCCATTGGTCCCACATGATCAAAAATTAAATAGTCAAGGGCTCACATATAAAAGAAGTGGGTCAAATTGAACTAACAATTAAAGACCGGTTTGGATGCCCAAAGAAATAAAATGTGTATTGTAATCACAAGAAAAACAACTGATTTGGTTATTTACATTATAATTTTTTAGTATTTTTAGTTTAGTTTAGTTTTGTTTTGTTTTTTCAAATAGACTGCCTGTTCTAAAGCTGTATATAGAAAATGTTGGTCTGTTCTAATTAAGATGTGTATGTGTCTGTGGGGGCAGGCATACTGTAGTGATGGGAGGGATTTATCTTTAGACTCAAAGAAGATGGAATCAAATTCTCCCAAAAGTCTTTTCTCTTCTCTCTGAACCATAGAGCTTATCTCTTTCAACAAAGCCAATTGATGCCTTTCAGACGTAGATTCTTACTTGCTAAGAAAATGAAACAGAAATAGATTCTGTATAACCAGGGCTCTACAATAAAATTTAGGAGCTGTAAAATTAGATTTTTAAAATTTTTTCCTTATAGGTCACACAAGGATTTATGTATTTTCATGCCTTCTGTTTGTTCTGTGTTTCATGGCCAAATTCCTCATTTGCTGGTCAGCTGTTATCAATATCTTTATTCAACACTTGTTCTGATAGGGACTGATAGCGGACTGAGAGAAGCCATACCACCTCTGAGCCATTGATTGAATAAGTTTCCTCCAACTGCTAGGACTTGGCCAAGTCCTGGTCTAGCTGTGGAATACAGACCCATGAAGTTCTAATATTAGATTCTGAAGGAGGAAGTACTATTTTCAATCTTTATTGAACAAGAAACAATTGTGCAATAAAGCCAATGTATTCCATTGGAGAAAATGAGCACACTGACCCACCAAACACACCCTAAAGTAGCAAAAAAAAAAAAAAAAAAAAAAAAAAAAAAAAAACAGGTAACATGGTAGCAGTTTAGTTCTTCCAGTTCAGGGGTACACACCTATCTTTTCTACAGAACACCATGGGACATGGTAAGGACCATGGTGTAACCAGTTGCCTACAGAAGTACAGCTGCTCTGGTCCTAAGAATGCCAACTTTCTGTTGCAATATAAACACATGCAGCTCCTTGAATTCTTTCACAAACATAGTCCGGTCTCAGAACAGTTCTCTGCCCCAAACCACTGCCTCAAAAGTAAGAACACCCTTGGGAATAAAGGTAAAATACTTGGTTTTTCAATGTTTGTTTTTACTAAGACCCAGTTGAGGGTGCAGTGTATACTTGGAACTTTCTCAGAGCATCACCACCCTCGAAAGAAGGAATAACAGGGGTCTTGATTGTGAAGGAGAAACTTTCAACAGGTGTTCCTTTTTGTTGTCCCACCTCCCATTTAGCCTTCTTTGGTCTGCTGAAACCAACACTCCATGAAGCCCAGAAGCCAAGTCCTCATTTGTACTTGGGTGTGCTATTTAAAGCCCAAGGGGTTTGTTTCATATTTTCTGGCTCACAAAGGAATCTCTGCCAAGGGTACCCAGTAGTGCAATGCCATATACCAGGAGATAGGCAAGCAGCACCCAGACCCACCTGCAGGGGCAGAGAGGTGATATGTTTTGCCTAATTTCCTCTACCTGGGAAAAATGGTCAGCCCTCCTGCCATTCTTCTGAGAACCCTGCCTGTCTGTTACTGCAGTCTTGTGCCTAACAGAACTCCCTTCAAGTCTTGTTGCTTTCAAGCCATTGTCTGTTCTTTGCATTAGTCTGGTGTGATACAGAGTGGAGCGTGCAGAAATCACAGACAGTAAAGCAGAATACAGAGAAATGGGAGCAGAATAGGAATACCAGTAAGTTTTTTGGGAAAAAAAAAAAAAAAAAAAAAAAAAAAAAGGAGAAAGAAGGTGGCAGAAGGGGAAATGAGAGACTTGGCATTTATAAAGATCAGCATGTCTGCAATATTAACCAAAAGAGAATGAGAAAAGGATAGAGACCGAGATACCTCTATTCCAGGGGAGTGAATGGCAAGGGAGATCTCAAGATAGCTAGCTCCCTCTGCCTATGTGCTCTGCTCTCTCTCCTCTCCCTTTCAGTACCACATTTTGCAATGAGCCATGCTGTGGGAAGCAATTCTAGGAACAGCCGCACTACAGTGTGTGTGTGTGTGTGTGTGTGTGTGTGTGTGTGTGTGTGTGTGTGTGTTTGGGCAGCCGAGGTTGCTAATTGACTATTGCTTGAAAGAAGAAGGGCTTCCCTGGTGGTGTATTTAAGGCAGTTTGCAGAGCTCTGGCATTGTTGTTTATCCAATATACATGAGGGTTTTCCTTTTGCCAGGCCTATCACATTCATCTACTCCCATGTTTTATTTCTTCAGGTGAAATATCACCACAGGGGTGAGCACCAAAAATGGCCAGAGTGCAAATGGCTGTGGTGGATGTTTCACCCGGGGAAGGGAGAAGGCAAGTGGGCCCAGCTGCCTGTTATTGCTCAGAAGCCGCAACGGCATTGCCTTGTATATAACCAAGATGGTTCACAGTGCCTCCATGAGTGCTCGGTAGACTCTTCCAAGGGTTTAAGCTAACTTTAGAGGAGTTTGCTAAACACACTAGTGTTTCATGGCTTTAAGACGAAGTCATTGCTAATGCTAGCTAGTAGGAGCTGCGTTGTCAAGGCATTATTGCTCTCATATATCTACTGAGACACAAAATTCAGATTATCAGCCCTTCTCAGAATACACACATCTATGAAAATAAATCACTGAGTATGAAACATCAGTCATTTCAAGGAGCTTGGGAAAACCCCCTGAGGGACAGCCCTTCTGAGGAACAATAAATACCCATGAAGATGCTTATAGATGCTGTCCTGAGGACCACTCTGTGCTTTGAGGATTTCATTTTAGTTGTTTTTGTTCTATTCCATTCCTGGAAATAAAAATATTGGCAGGGGATGACTCTGGGAAGCAGCCCACACATGGAAAATATGCTCCACAATCTCAAATTGATATAGGGAGGGCTGCCTTCTCTGAAGGAGATCACATGGAGATAATTCCAGTGTGTTTCAGGCAAGGGGTTTTACCATTGGATGTGTGCACAGTGCTGCTGCCTCCCCAGCTCCTCCTTTCTCCAGCAGCTTTCTCTTTTGACACATTATTTTAAAAAGACAAATGATGTCCAATCTTTAAAACATGGTTGTTGATGTCTTCCAATACCTAGGCAGCAATTCCTCTTTGTCCACAGTCTACACAGCAGTATTACAGAGCACAGTGTAGACCCTTGACTTTGCCTCACATAGTCCTCCTAAAGGCCTAGCTATTTAATGCCTGAAAGCTATTGCTCCCTCCCTCCCCCAACACTGTGTGTAAATATCACATATGTCCTTTCTACAAATTGGTATACAGGTGCCATTTAATCAGTTCAGATTCGGAAGCTACATCTTCAAGGGTCTGAGAGTTCACTCCCCCATATCCCCCCTTTTACATATTTTCATATAAGACATACAGCTTAATCAATTAACAAACTAAACAGCTTATATACTGGCAATATGTTACAGATGGATTTATGTCAGAGTAATAGATCAGATGAAATGGACCATGTGGTACCCAGTGCGTGGTGTCTTGGTAGAGCCCTGAGGACCCTGACAGGAACATCTCTAAGTAGTGCTGTGTGAATACAGACACATGCGGGTCTGTATCTACATCCATCTGACTAGGCCCAAAGGAGCAGGTAGATGCAAGATAGAGACACACACATGCTGGATGGGGTCACTGCACACCTTGTCATGCCGTTTGTAGGGCAGTTATAGGTTGCTGGTTTTGCAGCCACTTAAATTACACTTTAGGGAAAGGCTTCTCTAATTGTGTCTGATTTGTTTTGTGTAGTAAGCACTGTTGGAAGGAGACCAAAGCAAGAGCAACTAGAAGTTAAGTACACATTTCAGCTTTAGCTGTGGTAGAGAACTTTGGAGAAGCAGGCAGAAAGATTTATCTGAATTTTAGGTTGGATCTCTCTCTTGCTGTTTTCTTGACATTGCGTGTGTGCATTTGTGCATGTGTGAGAGTGTCTTTGTGTGTGCATGTGTGTTGTGCAAACTGTGTGTGTGCGTGTGCATGTGTCCTGTGTTCTATCGCGTCATCTCCTAAAGAACGCTGGGTTTCGCAGGCAGGCGGCTAGTCACCTGCAACAACCCAACGGTCCTGCCGAGGTTTCCAGGCTGCTGTCAGTGTCGGATGCAAGGGTCTGGTCCGTGGACATGGAGGAGATGTCGTTGACAGACGAGGACGGAGGGAGGCTCTCACTGCTGTTCACTGCTGCACCTGTGCTGAGAAAATGAAGACCAACATGACTAAACCTGGAACCAGACCCATGTGAGCACCATCAGAGGGCAGGGGTGAGTGTCCACAAGAGGATATATCTTCTCTATTATGCAAACCTCCACAGAACTGACACAGGAAACTGAAGTTGATGGTGAAAATCAAGGGGAAACAATGCAGAATCACATGTCACATGTATTCAAGGGCTAATGGTCATCAAATGTCACTCCAAATTAGAAATTGCCACACTGCCCCACCCCTAAGTTCCATGGTGTTGTAGGGTAACTGAGCTTGCATGAAGTCAAGGCATTTGCATCCTTAATTAGTACGATGGAGATAGTATAGTCATTCAGGGACAGAAAGCTACTGATTTATGGAGAAGAGAGATGAATAAAATCCTTAATGTAGAGGTCTGATCCAGATGTCTTTAAAGAAGGAGCAAAACAAACACAAGTTCTGGTCTTAGCCCAGAAACCGGCAAAGGCAAAGCCCAGTGACCTGAATTTTTTATGACTACAGCTCTAGGAAAATGAAAGTGTATAAAACATGGAGTATTAATTAATCATTAAATATAATACCGAAACTCAAATCCATGGAGAAAAGCCAGACTTATTAGGTAAGTTAATGAAGAGAAACAGGGAAACTAAGCCAGTGTACCCCTTTAAGAGTTCCCTTCCACAGACTTGCTGGCTTAGGATTTGCAAGCATTGGCTTATTAATCTGAAACCGTCTACAAGACTCTGAAACTCTGAGAAGGCACTTTGAGCAAAGGCATGCTGTGATGCTCTAGATTCAAGAGCAACAAAGGAAAGATGAGCCAAAAGCCCCAGGAAGCAAAATTAAATCACAGCAACCCATAAACACCAGATCTCCCTCTACTCCCCATCTCTATGAAATTCTCTATGCCTAAGTGATGTGTTAACAAAGTGTAAGCTTTGTAGAAGATGATGCTATTTAAAATACCCACCGTTTAATCAACAAACAAAAATGGAGACTTCCAACTACAACTACCTCATTTGAGAAACAATAGGATGAAAGGTCTATTTGATGAGAAAATGTAACTAAAATGAAGGACAGATGAATTATCAGGCAGACTCAACATTAAAAGAGAAAACAAAACAAAACTGAAGAGGGGGTTGCATTCAAAGTGTGTGCTCCAACAGCAGACACTGTGAGAAAAACGTGGTAACAATGTACAAGTTACTAGGGGGGGATTTCAAACATTCACACCAGGACACTTTCATACATCTGCATAGATTTACAGTTTCATTTAACTATAAAATGCTTACCTAAACTATGAGGAATACATTAACACACACACACACACACACACACACAGAGAGAGAGAGAGAGAGAGAGAGAGAGAGAGAGAGAGAGAGAGAGAACCCAGTGTGCACCAATGCCCAAGTTAATGGCAGGAATGGTTAAACTTCTCTTGTATCCCCCTCTTGTTCTTCACTAGTAAATTTCCAGCTCTCTGGTCATCCTTGCTGTATTCCTCTGTACCTTGATAGTTTCATATACAGAAACTCTGGGGGTACTTTTCATGCCTTTTAAATTCTTTTAAAAGTGCTAATGCTCCTAATTGTAAACGTTGCCTGTTTCCTGTAAATAATTACCACCATCATCAAAATGGTGTATAAAGTAAATTTACCTGGCTTTAGTTTGTTTCAATATTGCTTAATTACAAGCCTCGTTGAAAAGGTGCAGAGGTAGGCTAGCTGCTCACACTGATAACAGACAGCCCTGGGCTCCACAGTGGAGTTGTATGTACACCCTGCACTAGAATTCCTTTAGCCCAACATCTTTCATGTTCCTGCAGAAGTGCTGATCTCTAACAACCCAGTGCTATTGTGCTGTTCTCAGGGTCATCTTCAAGGTAGGGGTAAAAAGCAGCACACAATACTCTGATCAGTGCGGAATCAACTTTCCAATGCTGTCCATTTATGTCCAAGATGATGCACTTATCAGTTATTTGACTTTCAAATCAAGGGACCACAGTTTATATTTAGATTGTTTTTAACTGTAGAGTTGAAAAACATTTACATCTCCCACAATCATTTTATTGAGCTATAACTCATGTATCAGATAAGTTTTCAGTCTGATTTGTGCAATTCAATGTTCTTATTCAACTTCGTACCACTTTCATCAATCCAGAGGAAGTCTTAGACTCAATTTCTCGACCATTCATAAAAATGTGTGTGCACACAAATGCACACCTGTGTGTGAAAATATGTGTGAATATGTGTTTACATATGTTTGTGTGTACACAAGAAGGCCACAGAACAACTTTTGGGTGTCATGCCTCAGGCACTGTCCACCTTTTGATTGTTGAGATAGGGTCTCTCATTGACCTGGAGCTCACTAAGTAGGCCTGTGTGGAAGGCCAGCCAGCCCTAGAGAGTTTCCTTTCTCTACCTCTCCTGTACTGGTTCACAAGCACATGTCCCAGTGTCCAGCTTTCCTTCAGGGGGTTAGGAGATTGAATTGAGCTCCTCACAGACTGCACTGTCTCTGCAGGCCACTAGTGGCTTTTTGCCCCCCATGGTTTTGTGTATTCGGGATATTTCATACACATGTAAATATATAATGTGAATGTTACAGGCTTTTGCCAGGGATTGCTTAAAGCATAATATTGTCTTCAGGAGGGAAGTTTAAATGGCACGTCAGCATGTGTTCCTTTATGGTTGAGTAATGGCCATCCCACTACACATCATTTTTTGATTACTTCCTGGTAGATGAGCATTTGCTAAATACCGAGTTATGAATAATGCTGTCACAATGCTGTCATGAACATTCACTCAGACACTTGGCATGACTATGTTTTCATACTGAGCAACTCTCTGGAAGTTCTATTTAATTGATTCGGTTTGAAGAAGCTTTGAACTGTTTCTGTAAGTGAGCATGCCAGTTTATACAGTTTATACAGGCAGCTTTAAAGAATTACAGTGCCCTCACACCTTCAAGAACACTTATCAGTTTTCTGGATTACAGACACCAAGTATGTGTAAATTGAATGCCACTGTGGGCAATTTGCATTGCTCAGTGGCTAAGCTTTTTAAGGATCTTTTCAGGTGCTTGGTGGTCATTTGTATACCTTCTTTGGAGAAAAATCTGTTTGCATGCTTTGATCAGTTAAAATTTACCTCATTTTCTTCTTGTTGAGCCATAACAGTGCTTCACCGTTGGGGAACAAGTCCTTTTTAGATGTGTAATTTACAAATGGCATTCACTTATTATGGATTGCCTTCTTCTTGAAATTTTTTACAGACATCATATTTACTCTTTCTGTTCTTGAGCTTCTGTTGTCAGTTCTAAAAGATGCTCCCTAACTTAAGACTGTGAAAAATTTACTCCCATAATTTCATTTAAGACTTTTACATTTTAGTTCTTACACTTGGTTTCTGTGACTCTCTTAGAGCTCATTTATGCACATGTCCCTGCTTGTTTCTGCACTATTTGTTGAGAAAGTTAATTTTTTTTCCTACAAAATTGTCCTGGCACCCTTGTGAAATATTAATTCACATTTAATAGTGGTGATATACTACTATACTATCAGCTCTGTGCCGTTGGTCTGTTGTTCGGCTGTCATGTAAATGATACCACAAGGCTCTAGGGATTAGAAGATGATTCTCTAAACTGCAGCTCTCTACAGGAATTATGATGGTAGTGAGGCAATCAAGCATGTAGTATCTTACCAAGCAGGGACTCTGGTTAGCTTGGGCTATATCACAACCTTTACTGAACAATATATCCAGCAACTTGCTAGCCACCTTGTATCTGCTACCCCATTCTGATGAACGGGAGACAGAAATAGGCTAGCAGTTTAGGGTAGAGGACCCCAAACATGAACAGCTTTTTTCCCCTTGGCTAGTAGCCCAAATGACCTTGTCTGAGGCCAAAGATGACAAATGTTTGAGGAAAAATGTCTTGGATTCTGTCTGTGTCAAATGCCAAACGAAAAGCTTGTTTTCTTCTTACGTCTTTTACCCTAAGCAATGACCTCTTTCTGGGGGTCATAACTGGAACTGAAGGGAGCTACACTGACCAGTTCATTCCTCTGCCATGTCCCCACCCAGTAAAACTTTGGACTGAATAAATTATTCTTGCTTCTTTGCAACCCATGTGCACCTTTATTCCACTTGAATAAGATACCAAGAACCTGGAAACACCTGGATCAGATCCCAACCCCTGGTGACCTGGACAGACTCTAGTTACCACTAATAGTGGAATGAAAATGGCCTGACCCCAAAGCCCTGAACTCTGGCTCCAAGAAAAAGACTTATCTCCTAGTGTTGATTAACTGTGGTTCACAGCTGAATCTCCCTATATGTATTTCTGTGCTTATTTAGGATTTTCTATGAGTAGCAACACTGTTGTATGATAAGCAGAGAGAGACTAAGAATTTCTCCTCAGTTTTGGCCAAAAGTTCAAATAAACCCACATATGTGATGCATGTTATATATGAATTATATATATATACACATATATACAAATATATATACATATATATACATACATATATACATATATAATTTATATATATATATATATATATATATGGATATATATCTTATATGTACCTTAGTGGAGGTTGGTTTTAGACCCATTTCAATGCCTTATACATAAAGGGTTCAGTAGCAGTAGCAGACTATGATGTCAACTTCGTTGTCAACTTGGCTGGATTTGGAATCCTGGAAACACACCCCTTGGCTGTCTTTAAAGGTGTTTCTCAACAGGTTTAATTGTGACTTTCACAAATGTGGGTGGCACCATCACATGTCCTGGGGTTCTAGACTAAATCCAAGGGGGAAAATAGAGGAAGCTAACTGAGCACTGGCCTTCATCTATCTCTCTGTGTTTCTGAGTATGAGTGCACTGCCAGCTGCCTCACCCTCCCACCAGCCTTCCCCGCCTGGCTGCCTGCTGTGATGGACTGTGTCCCCTCACACCATGATCCAGACAAGCCCCACCTTATTAATGTGCCTTTGTCAGGTGTTTTG